AAAGTACTGCAAGCCGGTCCTGTTCTTTCTGTCTCCGATCTTCTTTTTTTTGTTTTTGTCTCAGGCAAGGCTGAGACATTAACTGATCTCAATATTCTCAATTCACATTCCAATTTTTCAATCTGCTCCTCAAAAGTATTTATTGGCGAATAGTTCCAAATTCCTGAGGAGCACTTCCAGCCTCCAGATAAACACTTCCAACGTTCTGATGAACACTCCCAACTTCTTCACGTACTAATTTCAGTGTATTCATGAATTTATTGTCATGGACTTCCAGAATTTTCTCGAGCTTGGTTTGTTCCTCGGATATTACGGTTTGAATGCAATCTCGCTGAAATTTGAAATTTACCTGAAGCCGGTCCTGTTCTTCTTGTATTTTTTTTTTGGCTTCGGTCCTCTTCTTCTTGTTTTTCTTTCTGTCTGCGACATCCTTGTTGTTGTAAAAGTGCTGCAAGCCGGTCCTTTTCCTTCTGTCTTCAATCTTCGTCTCCTTGTTTTTTTTTCTGTCTTTGGCCTTCTTCTTGCTTTTCTTTTTGTCTTCGGTCTTCTTGTTGTTGTAGCAGTAATGCTAGAAGCCGGTCCTGTTCTTCTGGTTTCTCTTTCTGTCTTCGGTGTTCTTTTTCTTGTCTTTTGTCGTCCAAATTCTTCATGAAGTCCGCCAACACTTGTTTAACTTGCTCCATTTCGGCTGTTTGCTGTCGTGTAGTTACCATAGAGTATTCTGGTTCTTATTTTTTTTTCACCTCTTTTCGAATCGAAAGTTCTGTGGAGAAGTCAAATTTTCAAATAATGGGATGTCGTAGAGAAATCACTCTGTGGACTTGTTTTTTAATTTTTTTTTCCAATGCCAAAATCAGTAATGAAGTCACTATTCTTGTATCACTTACGGTTTGAAAATAAAATTCTTTAGAATTTTGTAGAATTTCCCAGAAAATGCGCTTTGCTTTTCGATGTCGAAGCCAGTAATAAAGTCACTATTCATTATGCACATACGGTTCCTACATAGAATTCTATAGGAGTTTGCAGAATATTGAATATTCCAGAATATTTCACTCATGTATAAATTTTTCCATAAGAAAAGTATCAAATCCAAAAAATACAGCGGATATACAGTGCTTAAGGACTGATCACCCTTCTAAAATTTTTATTTTTCAACCGATTCAATTCATTTTTTTTTGTCTTGTAGCTACTCGAATTTGGCACTTATTAGGCTCATAATTTTATTTCTACGGCTGCACTGGTTTACAGGGTGTCCACATTTATAGGCTCAAATTTCAATAAGTACTAGCAGGGATTTTTTTAGAAAAAATCTGATAGCAGATTCTTGTTTAGAATGGTCTAAAACCCTCATGTACGAATTTTTGTTCGAATAGGGATACAGGGTGATCACAACAAATTTTTAAAATTTAATGGATCAAACCGTAAAAATTTTATATTTTGAGACAAGCTTACTACAAGTTTTGGTTAAGGATGTTCTAAAACTTTGTTGTATCAAGTTTTGTTGTTCTCAAGGCCTCAAAATATGAAATTTTTCCGGTTTGGTTCATTAAATTTTGAAAATTTGTTGTGATCACCCTGTATCCTATTGGAACAAAAATTCGTTCATTAGGGTTTTACACCATTCTAAACAAGAATCTGCTATGAGATTTTTTCTAAAAAAATCCCTAATAATGCTTATTGAAATTTGAGCCTATAAATGTGGACACCCTGTAAACCAGTGCAGCCGTAGAAATAAAATTATGAGCCTAATAAGTGCCAAATGCGAGTAGCTACAAGACAAAAAAAAATGAATTGAATCGGTTGAAAAATAAAAATTTTAGAAGGGTGGTCAGTCCTTAAGCGGGACACACTGTACAAATCGATAATACCAAAACGATAATAACACGTCGTCAGGGCAACCGGTTTGACAATAAATCAAAAATAATATTATTATTTGATAAAAAAACCTTATTTGATTTTGTTGGTAAAGTTATGTTTTTGAATTCGTGAAATATTCCTTTAAATACCACTCGAGCATAACCAGATAATTTTTCACTCGTCCTACGGACTCGTGAAATTATATTACATAATATTATGAAATTATTTTATAACAAATACCCCCGAAAATCCGCTTCTGAGCTTGTTTTTCGATGTAAAGTCTGGTAATAAAGTCATTATTTCAGTTCAATAAAAGTTCACTGATTGCTCCCACTAATTAGCTCAAATTAATGCACCAATTGTTTTACTCATAACCGCACTTCTGACACCAAATTTTCACGGCTTCCGGGATCACTAAAACTCACTCCACAAATAATAACAAATTTTATTAAACTAATCGACCTTATAAAATTCACTTATCAAACATACACGACAAATATGGAATTAAGGCCGGTTTACACTTTGAGTAGTAGCAAGTGCAGGTGTGTAGTGCTAGTGTCGAATTGTAAACGGATCAGTCAAGTTATTAGTGTTAAATACGTGATCAGTGCAAGCTAGTAGTAGTAAGTGCAAGTAAATCAAATCGTGTTCTATTTTTTTGTTTAGTAATACTCAACATGTCAAACTAACATTTGACACTAAACACTTGCAGTTAACAAAATGTAAACCGACTTTAACACTCAACATGTCAAATTAACATTTGAGACTTGCAGTTAGCAAAATGTAAACGGGCCTTTAAAACTGACTTCCACCTAATACTACTACGCGCTGTTTCAGTATAGCAGACAGTATAATCAGGATTTATCTGGGAAAACCCGGCGCCCCACTTGAGAAGAATTCTCTGAATTTTTCACGCTACGCGCATACAATTGCATTGTACGCATCCGGCCGGGCTCCCGCCGGGGAAATTTCGTAACAGTATGAATTATTTAGGGTTTATTAAATTGTTGTTGCAATGCACAACAGTATTATTATATCCGAGGCCCAAGCTTCATCAAGCACTATTGAGAGATGTGTTAAAAGAATATTGTTATTTGTATAATTCTTGAAATAGATGATGTTCCAAAAAAAGGTAAAAAAAAAAACGATTGAAAGTTCATATCGATAAAACCAAATACATAGGTTTCACCAAAACAAAAACAAGCCTCAAGCAATTTTGATATTAAGATTAAGAAGAACATTAGTCTAAACTCTAAACAGAGTTGAAGTCATTAAATATGTAGGTTTGTTGATTGACATCCCTATACTGGCATAAATAAATTACTAGTATAAAAGAAAAACATCTTGGTGCCAGTTATATGCATAAAAGTAGCGATTATCTCTCTTATCAGACTAAGGGCCGGTTTATCCACCTTCTGATAAACTGTCAGGTATGCAATCTGACAGATAAAAACCCAATCTGTAATCTCATTGGTCGGCCATTTATCCATCTAGCAACAGAAATATACCACGGTCAATTTATCTTGCAGATAGTTACCGGCAAGTGTATCTGAAGATAAATGAAGCGGGCCTTAGATGGCATAATATAAAGCATATTTTTTGTCACATCTTAGATACCTACTGCCAACCTATTGGTATACCTAAAAATCAAAGGAAGATCAAAACTACATGTACATTCCTACGTGGATTGAACAAGTTTCTTAATTAGTGTGCAATAAAATTACAATAGTTAGTACAAAATAGGAAAAGTTTATATTCAAGTTTATACTTATTAGGTACATATTAGTATAGTAGCTCTCGGGCAATAGTTTAATAAAAACAGACTAAAACTCAATGTGGGCAAGACTGAGGAAATGGTGTTTTCCCTGAGGAACACAGAAAGTTTGAGTGTTGCTGAACCTGAAGCAGTGAGTTTTCTAGGAATTCACTTGGATCCTGCCATAATCTTTGACAAGCACATCGACTTTGTTGCCAAAAAGTTATCAAAGTCACTATATCTCCTTAAAAACCTGAAAAAGATAGTTGATAAAAGGACCACTCTAAGGGTATTTCATTCTCTAATCCAGTCAAGCTGCAACTATGGCTTGCTGGCATGGGGTCATGCTCCTCAAGCGGAGAGAATTTTCAAATTGAAGAGATGAGCAGTGAGAAATATGGAGGGTCTTGGTTAAAGGGAAGACGCGAGGAACGCTTCTAAAAGCATGCGGGTGCTAACCTTGCCTTCTTCGCGCTACATCTTTGAATGTCTCTTATACACAAAAAAGAACCTAGGTAGGTACAACCAAGTACAACTCTACATACCCATAACACAAGGCAAGCTGACAACTTGCATGTTCCCTTTCTTAGACTCAACAGATCTAAAATATCAGCTCTCCACCATGCTCCAGCATGTTTTAACAGACTGCCACCCTCGCTGCTACCTGACATAAAGGCCCTACCAGAGAATTTTTTTGTGAGAACTGTGTGATGGAGCATTTTATAGCTTCAGTGAGTTTTTGCAGGCAGATCTGAGTCAATAAAATCTCCAACTTCCTTTTAGTAAAGTTCCTTTTAGTATTTATCTATTTATTGTATAATTTGTTTTAGTATTTTATATCTTTTTGTAAGTGCTTTTATTATTCTGTGTACTGTAGCCTGTAGCCTCACAGACATCTAAGGTGTGGTGAAAGAGCATTTCTTATAGAGTGTCAATTTGACTTTTACAGATAATTATCAATTTTTATTATGACGATTGTAAAATTTTATTATTATTGATTGGCATGAAAATAAACTTTACTTTACTTTACTTCACTTTATCAATTGCCAAATTTTTATACCTACATAATATTTGTAGAATTTTAGAATAGTCACTACAACTACCCTGCAATCTGCAATTAGCTTAGGAAAATAGTGAAGAATAAAATTAGAATATATTACTGATGGAAGAGTTAAAAATATAAATAACTATTTATTGGTCTATTGGTTTATTAGGTTTTGGGAGTAAATAGAGTTCACAAGGAATAAGACAAAATTGCAAAACCACAACCAATGGCTGCTTTTTAATAAAGACAAAAACCCGTTTCGAATGTCTGAATTGGTACCAATGAACGACCTTGCTTAGTAATACATAGTAGTTATTAGAAGAAAAATTAACCAATTCTTACCTGCTGCTATATCGCCGGTTTCTAGGACTCAGATTAGTATTGAAGTGATCACTTTTGAGCATTAGAGAGTTGTCTCTGCTTGTTTTGGTAGGTGATATGGTCATCTTTGTCCTGTAGGTACAGCTGAGTTGCACAGTACCGATTGCAGTGCAGATTTGCCCAACACGGATTTGTTTGTGTCCCTCGCCAAGACAGTGGCATAGAGGCTCGTCCATGTACATTCTGTAGCAGATAACATAGGAATCCGGACCTGAAATTGTTATGAAAAATAAGAGATTCTAATTTTATTTTGTAATTGTTTTGCCATAGAAGTTGTATTGAACTAATCCATCAAATATGCTACGGAAGAAGGTATGATTTTTCAAGTGAAATTTGGAAAATCATTGATTGAAATGGTTTTTCTTTGGATTCATTGGAACGCTTCGACTCGGGTTTTGAGCAATAAAACATACCGGAAATGTAAATTTATTAAACTAGGCAAATAGAATGAAGGAAGGGGATACAGGATGTCCCGTTATAATTTGACACCCCACTTGAAGCCCGTAACTTTACGGTTAAAAGAGAGGTGTGAATACAGAAGTTGTGAAATTTTAGCTCAATTTTTAGAATCCATGGACAGAAACAAATATTGAATGTACCTAAATGTAAAATTTTGCATACTTTTCAATTTTTCCGAATGGGATGCCCTATATTTGATTCTATATTCTTGAAGAGCACAATTTTCCTATTACAAAAATATATAGACTGTCTAGGCAGTCTCTTATACAGGGGGACTCTGAAAGTGAGTTTTTTTAACAGGGTATATATCTCGCCAAAATAAGTTGTTTGACAAAACATTGTTTACATAAAAAATTTAAGATAACGGAGGTACAGATATTTTAGGGTTTTGTACAGGGTGGGCATTTTATTAGGGGCCCATGTCTTTTCTCAGAAACTACAGGGTGTACAAAAAAAATATAAATACAAAAGTTTCTTGGTTTTAAGCAATGTTGTCAATTATTTGAGTTTTATTTATACAGGGTGTCCCAAAAGTGCTGCAGCGACTTCAAAACCAGAATTTTAAATGGAACACCCTGTATGTTATTGCATATTTGGATTCTACGTAAAATTCTGAGCAGAATCCATGTAATATACCCTATACCTAAGTTTAACTGTAAATAATAGACAACATTGCTTAAAACCAAGAAACTTTTGTATTTATATTTTTTTTGTACACCCTGTAGTTTCTGAGAAAAGACATAGGCCCCTAATAAAATGCCCACCCTGTACATTAAAAATATAATTTCAATAATCAAAGGAATTTTCGACTGATTTTTCTGATGAAATAATATAATAATAATCTATTATGGAATAGGACTCATTATGCTGGACTAATAATGACTTTTTTGCGGCTTTTTTTTTGAGAAAATGTAAGCAAAATGTTTTATAGTGGGAGTTTTCTTTAAACCTCAAAATACCTGTTAGACCGAGAACCGAGAGCTCATAACAGAAAAAAGTTAGTCATTTGTGACAAGTATGGCGACCCCCCAGGGGTCGAATTACGTAATGAGGAAAACGAAAAAGATGATAACTTTCTTGCCGGTGGGCCCTAATCGTATGGCGATTGTCAGATAAATTGCGGGTTCCAAATGATTTGTAACACAAAGATTCTTGTATTTTCCGATGGTTTATGAAAAATGAACTAGTCGAAAGCAAAATGCCATACTTTTCCGCAGTGGCGTAGCAAGGTTGGACGGGGCCATGGTGCAAATAAATTGCAGAGGCCCCCCAGTTGAATAAATATAAAAGAAAAATAATGAATGACTATTTATTTTCAATATGTTCAATGAAACAAATAACAGAAAAAAAGAACAATTTAAAAAAATAAATGGTATTCTATAAAAAAAACAATAATAAATAATTCAAAATGGCCCTGTTCGGGTTTGAAAAAAGGACGATTCTAGAACGATTTGAAACAATCGCACAGTTTATTATTGAAATTTGTGTTAGCCGAGCCGTCGTCATTTTTGTTGATTGCAGATAAACTATGCGATTGGTTTTAACCGTTCTAAAACCGTCCTTTTTTCAAACCCGAATAGGGCTATTATGCATAATAAAGTGTTAAGCTTTTGATTACAATAAGAATAAGAATATTATTGTAAGAAAAATCAAATCTCAACGGGGCAATCTCACAGGACAACGCATATCGCAGGCAGGCGCATCTAAAGACACGCTTTCCCGTAAAGATAGAAAATGTGATTTAGGCTTGGCGCTCCCGTGAGTTTTCGCTAGTAGGAATATTTTTCGTACAAATTTTTTTTGGCGCGTGGTTTCGGCGCCTCTCTACCTGAGTCTACCTCCGGGGCCCCGGGGCGCAGCGCCCAACTGCCCTACGATAGCTACGCCACTGCTTTTCCGGTGGGGCTCATTGCCCGCCATACCAGTCGGCGCGCGTTGGTTTTTATTATTTTTTTAGATTATTTGTAACAAGCTATTTTTTTTAACTGATCATCTTCGAGGAGTCATTCACGAAAATCACTATGCTATACCGTTCCGATGGTTCCAAGTAGCCGGCATACGGCCCCAAAGACGTAGATTTCTTTGATAATGCTAAACGATTTGTAACAGTATGGCATTTGTTTTGTCGAAAGGTGATGATACAATTTGACCGTTCATATATTTGCCATACTTATAATCAAGTGCAAAAGTGGTGCCATACTTGGAAACTAGTTTTCTGAAACGTCTTCCAGCTACAACTGGAACAAGGTCTAGAATTATTTATTACAGTATGGCATCATTGTATTCAGTTTGTTTCTATACGATTCTACCTGAAAACAATAATCCCATACTGATACCATGGGTCTGAGGACTGTCACACTTGCGCTAAGATGAGACCAAAAAAATAATAACGAAAAGAATTGTAACAGTATGGCATTTCAATTTCGAAAGATTACAAGGTAATATGCTTCGGAAAAATTATGCCATACTTATCGTGAACTCTTGGTGGTGCCATACTTGAAGAACTGCTTTTCTGGAACGTTTTTGAGCTACAACTAATACAAGATGTAAAATTATTTATTACGGTATGGCATTATTGTATTCAGTTTGCTTGTATACGATTCTACCTGAAAACAATTATCCCATACTGATACCATGGGGCTGAAGACTGTCACACTTGCGCTAAGATGAGACAAAAAAAAAACGAAACGAATTGTTACAGTATGGCTTTTCAGTTTTTTGAAAGTTTACAAAGGAATATGTTTCGGAAAATTTATGCCATACTTATCGTCAAGTCTGAAAGTGGTGCCATACTTGAAGAACTGGTTTTCTGGAACGGTTTTGAGCTACAACTGGTACAGGTCATCGAAGTTCCCATTTCAGTACTGTAATAGTAATATTTCTTTATACTGTGTGCGTTGACATGAAACAAAGTTTCATGAAACTTGCTACAGTTTATAAGTCTTATGAAACCTATTCCTCCAGTGTGTTACCTGCCTATGAGCCAGGCAGGACGGCCACAACCGAGGAAAGAAATTTCGAACTGCGGGAGCCGTAGAATATTATAAAACACTGTTATACAAGAAGATTGCCACTACCATATATGTTTGAAACATGATATTAGATTCTTAGTACCTTGAACTTTCAGAAAAAAATCGTGACAGACTGTTGCAAATAATGAAAACCTCTCATATGATCTCACATCTTTTTGATAATATTGGACGTATTTGACCAATACCACGGGTATGGCGTAGTCTGATTTTTCTTTCTAATCACACAAATAAAAAAATAACAAATTTATAGGGTGTTACAAATCGTTTAGCATTATTAAAGAAATCTACGTCTTTGGGGCGGTATGGCGGCTACTTGGAACCATCGGATCAGTATGGTATGGTGATTTTCGTGAATGACTCCTCAAAGATCATCGGTTAAAAAAAAATAGCTTGTTACTAACGCGCGCCGACTGGTATGGCGGGCAATAAGCCCCACCGGAAAAGTATGGCATTTTGCTTTCGACTAGTTCCATTTTCATAAACTATCGGAAAATACAAGAATCTTTGTGTTACAAATCGTTTTAAACCCGCAATTTATCTGATCGATTAGTCGCCATGCAATTAGGGCCCAACGGCAAGAAAGTTATCATCTTTTTCGTTTTCTTCATTAAGTAATTCGACCCCTAACTTTTTTGTGTTATGAGCTCCCAGTCTATGTACCTCCGTTATCTAAAATTTTCTATGTGAACAATTTTTCTTTCAGATTCACCCTGTATATTTGGGTCTAAAATTTGTAAAAATACTATCCTACTGACTTTTTTTGAATCATTCTCCTGTACAGGGAAAGCTGCAGGAAAAACTTGATGCACTATTAGGTTTTTCTGGTACCTAGTATTTCTAAAATTTGTAGAGCCAAATATGTTGGAGACGTCTCAACCAAATATAAACAAACTTTATATTTTTAAAATCGGAAAATTGCAATCTCCAAGAATATAGAACCAAATATAGGGCATTCCATTTGAAAAAAGTTGAAAGTACGCGAAATTTCAAATTTCTGTTTCTGACGATGAATTCTAAAAATTTAGATAAAGCTGCACAACTTTTTTATTCACATCTAACATCTATCGTCTACCTGTAAAGGTGGGGGTGTCAAATTATAACCAGACACCTAGTCCAGGTCTATGCAGATACTTAATGGAAATCGCAAGGGAAATCCATAACAAATTTTGGAAGGAGACGAAAAATGTTTCTAAATTTCCACAATTTCAAATAAACTAAGCGGCAGATGAAGTGGGGCACCCGAAAAATTGCCTAATTTTGACATTTCTTTGCCGATCTTGGATTTTCAGCCAGTATTACAAAGCGCCATCCTTGGTTTATGCGCCAGTGTTGTCGTACATTTTTTTTTAAATTCCTTCTCGTTATACAGGGTGTGAATGTAAGGCGGCGAAAAATTTCCATTTTTTGACGAAGAATATGGGAAAAATGAGGGGGCCAATAAAGTTCTTTCTGATGGTGGGTGGCTCACTAGGTCAACACCTCAAGACGTCTTTGCCATTTTTTCGATACATTGCGTTGGTATGGAAATATGACCGTTTTATGGAATTTCGTTTTTATCTTGAAATTAGCGATTTTTTAATTGAACAATAACAGATTTCGTCTAAATTGCATCAAGGAATGACTTGTATAGAAAATGGTCAACACCAGCGGCATGCAAAAGGAGGTTTATGAAATTAAAATTAAAAAAATCGATTTATTTGAAAATTTCAACGGTTTTGTT